CCCTTTTTTTTATGTGTCCTGTAGTGATTCTAGAATAAGTGCGGGTACTGACTGGTCTTTAGCCAAATTATCGGCAAGAGATAAAATTCAGAAAATAATTAACGGTAAGAAATGTATACGACTTAATGGACGGAAACATTTCTTACCTAATTTAATACTTCCTTTTTACATCCTTTTTTATCTCTTCTATCATCCTTTCTTACATTTTTCAACAAACTTTCATTCAACCTTAAATTAGAATTGCAAAGCAATAATTATGATTGCAGGGAGCATTCACAAGATTTGCGAACATCAAATTCGGCAACTACGATCCGTCATATGCGTGCATTCTGTCTGTTCGACTGACACTGCGACGAAATCGACCGGAAGAAGTAAGAAAGCAATTTCTGCACTAGTACTACCGTGATCTTCTGCTTTATTAGTTCTTATTTTAAAACATCAGGGCAGCTGGCAACCCCGTTTGCTAAGACCCTGGCATTTGTTCCCCTGCCTTTTTCGCTCTTACGAAGAATAATACTAGTTGTTTGACAGTTCTTCGGGCTTAGTTGCTAATTATTCTCCAGCGTTCCATCATAAAATGTATGCGACTTAATGGACCGAAACATTCCTATTCAGGTCTTTTAAACCGATTTAGCTTATTCACCTTTCCTTTATCCCTTTTAACCCTTACTTTTTACACAAATACACATTATCTAAAACTAAAATTACAATAAAACAATACCTTCTAAGGGGGCATACAGGGGATTAATCACATAGAAGTTTTTAAATGCATCAGATTTTGGATGCAGATATACGCAAAGCCACGCTACGGAAAACGTGTTACAAATGCAGGGTGAATGGAAAAGCCGAAAATTGTTTTTTTTTTTTTAAGGTAAAGCAACTTCTTCGATTGACCAATTGGCCACTTGGACATGAAATACGCGCGGATTTGTGGCAAGAAATCTGCAGATGTGGAAATCCGAACTTCAATGCGCATAAAGGCAGCTATGATCCGGACGAATATTCGTGGAAAGGGCTTGATGGTAATTCTCATGCATCAGTTAGATGTAACTATGTTTTTGTGAGCACAGAATGAATAAATAGCAACGCGCACGAGTTAATAGTTTACCCATCAAAATTTTCACGAGGCAGTAGGTGGTACCCGAGAGCGCGAAAACGCTGAATTTGAATGTGCAAGGTTGAGCGTGGGCAGAGGGTCATTGCCCTAAAATTTCAGCCTCCTAGACTTCGTGGTTCCCGAGATATTAACTTATCCGTAAAAAAATTTCACGGGGCCGTAAGTGTTACCCGCGGGTACGGGGAAGCTGAATTTAAATTTGCT